TGTGCGCGTGTGGTTGGAGGATGTGTTTGTGCACGTGTGGTTGGAGGATGTGTTTGTGCGCGTGTGGTTGGAGGATGTGTTTGTGCACGTGCACGTGCACGCGCGAGAAGGGGGGGGCGAACATTTTTCTTGTAAAACAAAGGGGGGGCCCAGCAAAATAAGTTTGGGAACCACTGCTCTAAAACATAAAGTCATCTTGGAGGCAAAGTCTCTGGTCAGTTATGAGGAAAACGTTTGAGCTACCAGCTCGGTCTGCATGAGTCTGCAGACCAAGAGAAAGCAGCAGCATCACTGGGCGAACGTCTTCCAACACAGCATAGCGAGCAGCATCGCTTACAATAAGAAGGATGTTGACCCTCCAGAGAGTGGTGGATCGTCAAGTTGCTTAACCAGCAGTGAGCTGGATAAGCAAAGCTGGACCGAATAAGTCGGGATGGTGGTGCATGAAGAGCTCTACATAAAAATGACCGCCCCTGACATTTATTAACACACAAAATGAGCAAGAATGAACAAAGTTGCTTCAAAGTGTCAGCTTATTTCAAATTGAACTCAAGAAATTTTACCAAACACACAAACTGTTTTTGAAGCATCAAATAAATGAGCATGGTGGCCACATTTCTGTGATAACGCGCATGTCCATGAATCCTGAATAATTCAAAACGTTATGTATGAAGGCACAGTAAACAAAGTCCACATCACACTGAACAAGATTTCAATAAAATTCAGCTTGGATGCTTTTGAATGTCAGTGATTTTTAAATGCATCTGCTTCTAAAGTAGGGCACAGAGGCTCTTTGCAATTTCCCTTCTGTATGTATCATGTTGGGCATTAAAATTAGGGGCGGGTTTTGATTATCGATTAAAATCGATTCTGGCTTGGATAACTTGATATCGATTCTTTAAAATCCTGAATCGATTTTTAAATATAAATGTATTTTTCCCGAAACGCCAGAATCTCAAAATTTCAACAACCACCAAACAGCTAAAACAGTAAATGAGAGCAGGAACACGGATTCTGCTCAAAGACGTAAACACAAAGCGCCGACCCGCCGACGGATCAGAATCACTGAGATGTTTGTTTTCTCACCGACGGCACGGACACGGTCGGGGCTGAAAGCCGACAGCTCGCTGATTCTGATGTTTCGGCGGGGCGGCGCTTTGTGTTTACGTCCTTTTTGCCTTAGATTCTGAAGCTGCAGGTTTTATCTCTCTCCAAACAATATTGACTGAACCAGATGCAAAAGAAGATCCAAACTTCGCTTCACATAAACATCGTCATGAACTCACTCTGACTTTTGCTGTTTTGCTTCCACCACACTTCATGCACAGCTCGCTCTCTCTCTCTCTTCAAGAACAGTTTCCCGTCTAAAAATCTGTTTTCTGCATTATTCGCTTGCTTGTTACACACAAGTCTACTGCTGTTTACAGCGCTGTCGGACGCTGTTTGTTTCCCTTCTACTTACTTCCAAAAAGAAAGCCTCATTTCTGCTGTTCAATACTGAACAAATTTTAACTTTTTAAAATTATGCAAAATTGCAAAAGGCTGTGTCTCAAATAAAACCTCTAACTTTGCTCTGCTTCACGTCAGCAGCATCAGGTAATGTTCATATGTTGATTAATGGTTTTCTTTCGTTTTTGATCTACTGCAGAATATTTTTAAGGTCATCTGCTGTAAAATTCCAGGCCAGGAAAGTCACCTTCACGTTTTTCTGTGTTTTATCTTCAGTGACTTCGACACAAAGGCCTCTGCTGTGATGCTCACACCTTTGATAAAGTCTCACAAGTGTCAGTTTTCTTTTTGTAGAAATAAAAATATGGAAATGTACTGATACGTGATCAGGCAAAATTTACCCGATTCAAATCGAATCGAATCGTGGATCAAATCGATTCGGGACCTTGTGAATCGAAATCGAATCGATTCTAGAAATCAGTGACAATAATCAGCCCTCATTAAAATTATCCATGAAAGAAAACCTGTGCAGGTAACATACTGTACTGTATTTATAGAAACCATGATGAGCAGGAAACCAGAGGCAGATGAGCAGAAAACAGGTGAGTCACATTTCCAATGGTTCCACCTGCCAAACCTTTCTTTAGCCCTGAGCATGTACTGGGGGCAGGCAGCTTTATTAGCACCTACACAGCATAGGAAATGCAGTTTTTAACAGCCACTGGCAAAGATTAATTTTGTGCCATGTAATCTTCCAGCAACTTCTCGGTTTCACTTTAGCCGCATTTTATGAGCTCAAATTGTTGTCATAAATATTTTGTACTTGTAAATCAGACTGTGTAGTTGTTAGTTTTGTACCCATGTAAACCAAAATATGTTTGTGCATCTATAGATGAGAATTTGTGTGTGTGTAAAAAATATTTAGACAAGTTACAAATTTGTTTTTGTTCAGGTCCGGTTACAGATGCAAAGCAAAAAACTACGTGTAAAGCTGCGCTCAAGTTCCCTGGCTGTGTGTGAGCTTCAAATTGCAAGTATGATTTTTGACCTGAATTTTCTTCTTTTCACAAATTTAACTGGAGAACAGATGGGTTGGGCTGTCAGAGGGGGCTTTACTGAGCTTCAGGTCCTGGAAGGGCAATACAGTTTGAAGCTGGAGGATCTCTATATAAACATCCCACAAGGCTCATATAAGCTAGGTCCCTTAACTTTCAGTAGCTGTTGAAAGGATAAAGTTGTGGTAAACCAATGGTCAGTGTCAGGGAGTTTTTAATGTTTTATTTGATTATGCTTCAAATGTTATGTTATACTTATGTTCACATATTTCACCAGACACAGTTTTCTGTTGAAACAGGAAGCTGACCCTGTGACCCCGTGACATTCACCGCAAGAGATCTGTACAGAAATACACATCCGCAGAAGTTGACTTGCATTATGTTATTCTTAGAAATTGACTTGTAGCACATACACTTTGTGACACACACACACAGCTTACACACAGACAGCATCAGGACCTGCGTAACAGGAAATGTGATTATATTTGCATATTGACGATGTAACCTATAAACATAAACGAATACTGCAGTACGGTGTGACTCTGTCTGAGTTTCACCCGTGCCGCACGTTATCAGTATCAAGTGTCTCAGTGTTGTTTATTCACCTGACCGTTTACTAACTGTAAATCTCTGACAGTCAGAATTACCATTATTACTTTCACATAAAGTCAGGGCTGACCCGGGACCATTGCTGTCAGTCACACTGCACAGGATAAAGGCCCTTTCACATCAGACGTGGCATTCGCTGCGCTCACAGCTAACTAAGAGCAAAGAATCCACAATTTGTGTTGTGCTGGCTGCTGCGCTAGCTTTTATGTTGTTTTCTTGTGGCTGCTCTACGTGTACTAGATGCACCTGCCCCTCGTCGTTTCAAAACGTATCTCTGATTTTATATCCTCTATGACAGTGTGTGTTGTATTATGTTCACGTTTTTAAGTAAAAACATGAATCACTCGATCATAACTAAGAAAGCTTTGTAACTGTCCCGACTAGCGAAGAGTGTGTCATTTCCACAAAAGTGCTTTCCTCCCCGAGGTCCACAGAGCTGTTGAAAAGACTGTGGAGGTCCCTGCACGTACACCTGTGACAAAAAGTTCACCGAACTCAGACACGCACAGAATGTTTTCCTTTGTGGTGATGAAGGAAAACGCTGGCACCTTTGCCCTTCCAGGACCTGAACCTCAGTAAAGAGTCCCTCCCACCGCCAAACCCATTTGTTCTCTGATTGGATAGCTAAATTTGTGATTGACATGACACTGACCAGTCAGCTGAAAGGAAGAAAAATCGGGTCAAAATTTATCCTGCAAGTTGAAAGTTACACACAGCTGAGGAACGTGAGTGCAGAGTTTTACACGAAGTGTTTTGTTTGTATCTGTAAGCAGACATTAACAACAGCAGAAAAAGTAACTTGTGTAAATATTTTTACAAACAAATCTTTTTCTTAACACACACAAAAAATTCTCATCTGTGGATCTGTGGATAACATGCACATAAAATGTTCAGATATTTTGGTTTACAAGGTTACAAAACTCAGTTCACAGCTATGCAGTCTGATTTACAAGTACAAAATATTTATGACCACAATTTGAGCCCAAAGCATTTGTGTAGTGGGCGTTATCTCAGCACACACTTGTAGGCATTGTCTGATCCACAACACCCATGTGTTATACTCACTTGTTCCTCAGCATCTGCCAGGCCGCCTCGATGTCCGCATACAGGTTCTTCTCTGAAGGCTTGCCGGTGCTGACTCCGTAGCCTGAATAGTCGTAGGAGAACACGTTGCAGTTTATCCTGGAGCCCAGGCCGATGTAAAAACTGCACATCTGCCCCAGGTCCACAGCGTTACCGTGGGAAAACAGCAGCGTGTAGCGACTGTTTGGAGCGCAACGCACAAACATGCATGCTACCCGGTTACCCCGGCTGCTTCTAGTGGTGAACACTTCCACTGCATCGAGCTCTCGCTGGGAGTATTGCCAGTCTGCCCGTTCGGTTAAATGTAAGCTAGTCACCCCGTTAGCGTCGGTGTGCATGGAATACGTGGGCTCCGGTGGAAGGAAAGCTAGTTTGGCCGCGATGCGACTCGGACAGGGTGGACAGCAGAACAGCCAGCACAGCTCGCCGATAGAAAACCCATTCATCCTGGGGCCTTGTTCTGGCATTTAGGCCCGGGGTTACCTGATTTACTAACTTCGGCTAAAACAAAACACGCGGTTCGGATCTGTTTCGAGATCCGGTGTACCATTAACAGACCGCAGCAGGGCTGGAAGACAAGCTGAGCGACGTCTCGGCTTTGCAGCTACTCGCTAGCCGGCATACAGGTGGCTCACAGCAAAACTCGCAGAAATTGCGACGCAACATTTACGTTTATATTACTTTACACCACTAAACTGTGCCACTACTGGTCTCAAAAGCACAGTTCTACCCTTTGAAAACATCACTTGCTGTAGCTTTGTTGCTAATATATTGTAATAAAGAAAGCAGCCATTTCTCTTGAATGGTGACAAGCCGGTTTTCCGGTACAACCGGATATCCTGCCGTAACAAAAACAAAAAGCCGTAAGATATTTTAAGGGAAAAAAACAAACATTTTCTTTATTGAAAAAAAAATCCACACACACATCCAAAAATCTTCATTTGTTTATATTTTGCGCTTTAAGGAAAAACAGTCTGTTCAATTCCAAAGATCTATTTTCTAAACTTGGGCTGATCCACACTGTAATGTTCGGGCTCTGTGGAGGTGACCGGTAAAGTTGTGTTTTTCTGTCCATCACTAAAATCACTGTTGTTACCTTTTATATTTTGCTTTACTGTTATAGGATATATACCTGTTTGATTGTTCTTGTGATTTGGCGCTATATAAAGTTAACTGAATTAAAGGTCTTCAAAATAGATGCATATAGTGTGGCATTTATTAATACTGTAAAACCTTGTTTAGGTACAAACTTAAACACATCACCTGACCTGTGATCTGAGCGGTGATGGTGCCCAGAAACAGAATGAGAATCTGTGAAAACATGAGACAAGATTCTTATATATATATATATATATATAGTCAACTTCTGTGTTGTGCCATGCGCTTGTGAAGTGGCTGTTTGGACAAAGAGCCACCTCCACAGGACAAAACTCAGCAGTCCATCTGCATCTAAAGGTCAAAGGTCACTCTTTCGAGGATGCCAATGTTCACATTTTGGACAGAGAGGACAGATGGTTTGAAAGAGGAGTGAAAGAAGCATCTATGTCCACTGTGAGCGACCATCTTTG